AGAAAATGTGAGAATGTGGAATTATCAATAATTAAGGAACATAAATTTTGGTTCATCAAGACAACTAATGCCACTTGCAGCGTATACCCCTCCGTCGTTAGCCATGAAAGCCCTGCCATTGGCTCCGATATCGACGATGAAACATTTTTTTTTTGGCATCCACTAACGCTAATACAAAAATGCTATTACAACATTTATAGTTATAAAAATGTGCTCCATCTTCTTTTGATGGCCGAAAGGCCCTCATGTTCGCCGTCTACTGCGCCAATACAGTTAGGAAGACTTCGTAGAATTCAGTTGCAATTTGTGCCCAATGGGCTGTTGTGGCAGGCACCTAAAAGTTCGGAGTCTACCTAACCTTGACACTTTTCTCGTCAGCATACTGAACCCCATCCCAACTACTGGATTCAGCGGGAACCACCAAACTATTGGCAGGAAAATAATTTCCTCTCATCCGCCATCAACGCTCTCTAGCGAACTATATCTTACCTACTATCTTAAGCGGGATACATCCGAAAATCGGATGAGAAGTTCAAACTCCGCCGGGATGTCTCCGATAAGATGTGCTGGATCCCAGCTGGGGTCCCCGTTTGATATGTAGTGAAGTCTCTTAGCAGGACACGTCCTAGTGTTGGCTGATGCGAAGACAATTATATTTAGAAAATTCTGAAACAAATAGGAGGAAAAAAGGGAAAACCCATGAGCGGAGCCACCGCCAATAGGCGCTGGAGACAGCGGAATGGAGGAAGGTAGCGTCGTTTTTAGCGAAAATAGTATTTCGGGTTTTCATCCAAAAAACCAACCAAGATTGCGAGATACGAATTAGATTTTATTACCAAAAAGGACATCTCGCTCGTCCGCTACGGACCAACAACTCAACTATCATGGCCGGACGCTTGGTCTCAATCCACTCGTTGAGAAGGTGAAGCTCCCGGTTTCGAGTCTCCAGCTGAAAAATACCTTTCCTTACTGATAAAAAGGTTTCTATTTCATACATCTATCCTTATTCATCTTTATTGGTTAAACGCTGTTTTATTTCTCTCGTGTAGGTATTTTTCAGCCAGAGCACAATTCCATGGCGTTTCACCTTCTTTTCACATGGTTGAAAATTTACAACAAATTATTCTTTTTATTGTTTTTACTGTAGCCAACAGGTAGACCCTTCCTCCACAGATGCAAGGAGGCGGAGACCCCGTATAATCAGTGGCGTGGCGTGAAATGCGATGTATCGATTGTTATGCCATTTAAGCTTATGGTAAAGAATCGATTATTAAGGTGTTCGCTGCGAACACCCTGTCTATCGATCATTTTCCATAGGTTTAAATGGCATAAAAATCGATGTATCGCAATTCACGCCACGCCACTGCGTATCATATGACGCAATGCATTTACACGGGACCGGGGGTCGGGAGGGAGGGCGGGCGTCGATTTAGGCTCCTCTCCGGGAAATGTAGTCCCGAATGCCAGGGCGGGTAAGACGGTTGATAAGGTCCATGTCGATCCAATCCACTCCTTCGACATTCCAGAGCCTAAGCCTTGGAAGCATAGGAATAAATAAAGCCTGGAATAAGCGCGGCTGGGAGGCTTTTCCAATCTCTAGTTTCATTTTAAACAATTCAGTTTCCTTTAGAAAAGCGCCACCATCCTCTGTGCTACCAAACGTGGGGACGTCCTCACATAGATCGAGCAGACCATGGACATTGTAAGTAAAATAATTCTTTCCGTAAATCAAACAAAAGTCTTTCGCAAATTTTTCGAGCAATGTTTGGACGTAATCTAGGAGAGGGAGCGAGCTTTGAGCACTTAAAAGAATTGACATTGCAACATGCAAAACGAGGACATTACTTTTTATTTGGTAGTTTATCTTTCAGGCGTGTTCTGCACACAACAGGAAAAACCTACATCCAGTCGCTTTGAATCGGCATGCGTCTGCAAGACTTCTCGGATACCTGGAGAAGTCACTTGTTTTCCACGACTTGAATCTTAAAAGTCTTCCAGAAATGACATCTATCAAGTCTCTTCTAACTTCTGAGTTTCAAGAGATCCTTCCAGCGAATATTTTAACCAAGATTTCTTCATAATTTCTAACAGCACCAGGTTCATATAGTCTACAGAACAGTTTCACACAATATCAAAATGTGGAATAGATTCAATGCCGCAGGGCGACTTGTGGTGATTGGGATCCTTTTTATCGATGAAATCTTGGTGACTTCTGTTAAGGTGTGAGGGATTTACAACAAACACCTCATTGGATAATAGTGGATATTTATGAAAGAAAGCTTAAACTATGACTTCGTGCGGACGAACTCTTACAAGTGAAAAAGAGGACTGACCACAAGAAATTAGAGCGGGACGAGAGGGAGCTTGAACTTATCACTAAGGCTCTCAGGCTCAGGTGTCCACATCCGTGATGAGTAATGTAACACATATGAGTAATGAATTGATACATGGATGCAAAATCTTGCATTATATTTAATTAAACCTCAACAACTTTTAGGATTACCAACTTTAGTAGGAAAATAAACCCTGCCAATTTTTTTTTATACCCTTTACGTCACAACGAATACAAGACTAAAAGCCACCCACTCCACTACTTACACATCTAATTTCACCCTAATCACAATTAAACACACTCGATCTATTACCACACAGCTAAACCATAAAATCACAATTCACAAAGTTCGCAAATACGAATTACGAAAATCGCGTAACCGCGTAATTTACTGTTTAGCCAAAATGGCAGCGCAACGTTCCCTCACCTACCCAACCGCACTCTACCGATGTACGAATGTACGATGCAGACTGATGGAATTGCTGCACGGAGGTCTTAGAAATGAGTGCTCAAATGTTTAAAAATGGCATCAGTTGGTCCATTCCTATTAAGACTTGATATCTTTAGGCCTAATTTCGGTCGCTGCTAAAAATTTAATTGGAGCAGGGTGTAGATCCACGGAGAGACTCCAGACAGTCACCATAAAAAGTTATTAGTCCTTCAAAGAAAGATGTTGTACTTACATTAAAAAGTTACTTCCTTCTCTTCAATTACTTCTGAGGACTCAGCAGGAGCAGTAGCGATCCGCGATCCGCGATCGAGAAGAGCCGAATTGGAAGAGCTTGCTGAACGAGTGAGGATGCGTCATACGTTAACGGTGAATCGTTCAAAGCGTTTGAAAACCCAAAACTTAAAAAATAAAAGCTTCAAAGACACAAATATAAATTGAGGGTGGAAAACAAAGAGAATGTAAAAGCAGCCCGAAACGGAAACGACAATCGAAAACACTGAAAAATGCGGGAACAAGGCTAAAATACAAAATACAAAGGCAGGACGTTTCGGCACCATTATCAACTGCTAAATTAGAATTACAAACAAAAAAGAAATTAAAATAAAAACCAGCAAACGGCATTACATGGTGAAATTGGTAAATAAGACTGCAGTGATAACGAGAAAAACCCAACTCGAGGTTTATTCCGTTATCACTGCAGTCTCCTTTACCAATTTCACCATGTAACGCCGTTTGCTGGTTTTTATTTTAATTTCTTTTTTATTTTTAATTCTATTTTAGCAGTTGATATTGGTGCCGTAAGGTACCGAAACGTCCTGCCTTTGTATTTTGTATTTTAGCCTTGTTTCCGCATTTTCCTGTTTTTTTTATTATAAATTGAGACCTATTAGAAACCTTCCAAAAACACGAAATTCGTGAGAACGAAAATGCGCGGAAGGAAAGTGGCGTCAATGTTCAAATTCAACCGCACACGAGACACGTGACGCACGAGCTACGAAATTCGAATTGAACTTTTTTTAATTGAATATCGAACCGTCCGCTAGGCGCACCGATCATTGGGTCTGACATTCTTAAATACCATCAAAATATATCGTTAACTTAATATACACTGAATTTAATAAAAATATAGGAGCCATACAGTGGAAATTATCCTTGGATTATTCTAGGAATAATCAAACATGCCGTTTTTTTCGTATATTCGTAGGCTAATCGAAATCGTAGGGTATTGGTAGGATATTCATAGGATTTCCACTGCTAATAGCTTGGCAGGTTCCATAAACGCTGGCTTGGAGGTGGCGGGAAACGTATCGAAGGTGGTGCGGGAGAAATGACTTCCTGAGCGTCCTGTTCATCTGATTTTTAAAAACGTATACTCTTATTAAAGTTGAAAGTATGCCTCATATCCACATCTAATTGGATTTTCTATATCTTCAATAGTTCTGAAATGAGAGCAAATTGCGCAATACTTTTGGAATGACCCTTGTAATATCAAGTGATCTTCACACGCAAGGCAAGAACAATGTAGTTCAATGGTTCTAGACCTCACAATTTTCCGCAAAACGCCCATCATGAATTTGTGAAATGTCTCCTGAAATGTGTGCTGAAAAGCATCGACCATGAATAATCATGAGTCGAAAAACACTGCCTCCACGAGTTCGAATATTTGAGTCAAACTCAACCGTGCGGCCAGCTCAAAACGCGGGTTAGCGCCTACAAGACTGCATAGATACCTCAAGCATTGCACGTTCGAACCGTGATGTACGCGTAATGCGTGAAGTATCCTCCGTGGTGCACTCGCAATGCGAGAAGTACCCATTCAGTCTTTTAGGCGCTAGCGCGCATTCCTTTTTATACAGGTTCATTCGAAAGTCACTCACGACTGGCCACACTGGAAAAAAACCACATTGGATCTAGAGTCCAGACTCTTAAAAACATTGACAAGAAAAAATACTCTTGATTCAATCGGTTTTTTGCTTAAAGCAAGAACCAAGCCTCGTAATTTGAGCGGATTTCCTTTTGATTCAAGCTTAAATCTGATTGAATCAAGAGTATTTTTCTTGTCAATGTTTTCAAGAGTCTTGACTCTAGATCCAATGTGTTTTTTTTTCCAGTGCAAGGCCTAAGTAAAAATTCCAGAAAATGCGTTACGTAATACTACGGAACGCAGTGTCCAAAATCTCTTTTCGAAGGTACTAAGTGGCGGTAAAGGAACAACTCTTTTCCGGTTTTATTTGGTTTTACTTTTATTCTCAAAAAAGGCCTTAAGTACTGAGAAGTCGGAGTTGGTGTAGATCCGATGAGCCACGAAGGCAACGGCCGCAGCGAGGGCCAGTAGGAATGCGACCACGTCGAGCAGGAGATACTCCGCGGTTGAAAGATCGATGGTCGGGCTTCGAAGAGAGGCACCCCCGTGCCGCGCCACGTACTCTACCCAGTAGACGGCCGTGTCCAGGGGTGGCGAGGGTCGATCCCTGTAGACTCCCGACAGCTCTCGTGCCTTATTCCTGTACCTGCAACGGCGGAAAATGATGAGCTGAGAAATCACAGTTTCTTGGGAGAGGAGAAGAAATGCCAATGGAGAATGGAGATGTTGCATGTGTGAGGGATTTGCGATTTGACTGTTGTTTCTTATGTAGAAGTTCGCGAGAAACACGATGGTGCCACTGGTTTTCTCTGAAATTATCTCCCAAGCTCAAAAAAAGCTCTCGAAGTGAGACCAAAATAGAGGGGATATCCCGCTCTACCCTGAGAGTCCACCTCTACATCAAAACAAACTCTTCATGCAAAGATAGGGAGCAAATACATTGACAGGGCTGCCACTTCATTTGGGGACTCCAAAACTGAAAACACGGCAACCCTGCTAATGTCTTTGCTCCCTATCTTTGCATGGAGAGTTTGTTTTGATGTAGAGGTGGACTCTCAGGGTAGGGTGGGATATCCCCTCCATTTTGGCCTCAACTTGAGAGCTTTTTTTGAGCTTGATAGTTGATTTCAGGGAAAATCAGTGGCACCATCGTGTTTCTCGCGAACTTTTACATCAGAAACAACAGTCAAATCGCAAATCCCTCACACATGCAACATCTCCATTTGTAGGTGTCTGAAATATAGTGAATTTCGTTTCTAAGTGAACTGATCACGAGAATACCCTTCGCTCATAAAGTGGACGTATTTCTATCCAACGGAACTAAGTGCCATCGGGGGAGGAAGAGAGAGGGGGGCTTGGATTGGCAGGTGTTGCGGAACGCGATGCTCGTTCCGTCCTGTACTCGCAATGCTTTTCCACGGCGCTTAGTTCCATTTGACAGAACGCGCTATCCGGGATTCTAAAATCCTCCAAAGGAACTTAATTTGGCGCTCAGTTCCGTTCAACAAAAATACACCCAACTGAGCAATTATTAGGGGAGATATGATAGATTTACCGAATCTGTGAATATAGTCGCCAGACAACCTCACTAAGCTATGCATTTTCTCACTATTGAATCTATTTTTATACTTTTCCCCATATCAGAAATAAACTATTAAAAATATTGCAAAATCAGCTCTAAGCACTCTCAAATGAAGCAATATAAAAATTGCGTACAAATGCTCCATCGTAAAATAGTATATTTTCGAACCCTTTTTCAGTCTGTAACGAGATTTTTAAAGGGGGTATCAATTCGATCGACATAAATCGATCGAAAAATAAAAATGTAAATCGATCGACGTACATTGAGAAAAAGCCATGGCATTTAAACCAATTAGTGGCTCATATGGAACACCACTAATAGTAGTAAAGGCAAGATATAATAGTCAGTTAGTTACTTAATTTACGACGATCAGCAACCAGGCTATTCACGTCGGGGACCGGGAAACCTTAAATTTTTAAAATTAATTACTTTAAGATTTTTAAAATTTCGGTGACTATAGGACACATACCTTACTGACGGCATATATACCTTAGTATGGTTTACAGACCTACTCTCGTCAGTTCATTTATGACAATCAGTGGTGTTCCATGTGAACCTCTAATTGGTTTATAAGGCCATGGATTTTTCTCCGTGTGAACCGATCGACAAATGATTAAAAAAACTCATGTTTATTCGCTCGGCAAACTCGTGGATTGATCGGAAAGTAACAACGTTAGCCAATCGAAACGATTCGATTGACGTCCACCCCGAAAATTAACGGGTTCGTCGATGAATGCACAGAGTTGTCGATCGACTCGCGGTTGTCAATCGAATCACGTAGATCGGTTTAATTTTATATTTTTCGATCGATCCTTGTCGATCACATTGATACGAGTTTTTCATCATTTATCGATCGAATCGGTGTCGATCGATTCACGTTTATAATTTTACTCACTACTCTCCCTTTCTACCCGATCCATTTTTCCTGACCTTCACCAATGTTTTAAGCAAAGAAGAATCGGATCAGGCTTTATGTGGACCAAGTTTATCAGAAAGGAACCAACCCCACTGGTAAAAAACCTCTTGGTTCAAGAGTGCAGTGTCTTGTCGCCGGATTTAAAAGTCTGGACTGTTGTTTCAATGCAAAATCCGCTTGAATCAATGCAAAATCCGCTTGTATCAATGCAAAATCCGCTTGAAACCAGAGTTCAAGACTCTTTAATCCGGCGACAAGAAACTGCACTCTTCAGTCAATGCACCGCGGCATTGGTCCAAGAGGTTTTTTTTACCAGTGACATTTTCGAAAAAATTGAGCTAAGAACGTTTTTTAGTTTCAGCAGGCGTTTATTTTCTCAGGCCAAAAACTGTAAGTCGCAAAACAGAAATTAGTTTCGTTAGAAAAGAGGGGTTAAATTTCACTTTCTGCGCTGAGCCTTATGCAGGAATAAAACTTCAAACCTCTGTTTCTCAGTTTCAACTTAATGTGGATTGGTTCCTTTCTTGTGAACTCGGTCCATTTCTTCCGTGGGGGTTATACTATGTTGTATGTTATCGGCTGAACAACTTTTCAAAAAGAATTTTGAGAAATATGACTGGAACTAAATCGGTTTGGAATAGAAAGTATATCGACGGTGTAAGTCGGCGATCACATAACTCGGTTCGCGACGTCGCAGAATTCCCGTCATACTTTATTTTTTGAACGGAAAACTACTCTACGGCAATTCTTTAAGGCTGCCGTGATTTTTCTTCTCTGTGCGAAGAAAAGTTAGCATAAACTTCAAGGAATGATGTCAATTTGTTCTCCTTTAAAAAAGTAACAGAGGCGGAGATTTTCAGACACCGTAAACTCACTGGAAAAAAAGCACATTGGATCTAGAGTCCAGACTCTTCAAAACATGGACAAGAAAAAGTACTCTTGATTCAATCAGAATCTAGCTTAAATCAAGAACCAAGCCTCTTGATTCAAGCGGATTTCGTTCTGATTCAAGCAAAATTCCGATTGAATCAAGAGTATTTTTTCTTGTCAATGTTTTCAAGAGTCTGGACTCTAGACCCAATGTGTTGTTTTTTTTCCAGTGCAAGTTATATGATTGCCAACTTACGCCGTCGAACTGGTGAACCTCTCAAAATAACTGGCAGTATTGCGGTGGACTCATTAACTTTGAAAAGTTGAAATTGGGGAGGATCATCTCAAGGTGGTAGCATGAAAAATTAGTGAGAATATCGAGGGTCCTTTCGGTTTCTCTTACCTGTCATCGTCTAGAATTTTGCGGATGGCTTTGAGTATGGAATTGGTGTAAGGAGTGCGGTAGTACGGGAAGAGCTCTCCGACTCCTGCCTCAACGGCCGCCTGGACGTTGTACGCTTGGTCACCGAACATCGGGATCCCGAGGATAGGCACTCCGCAGAACACGGCCTCAGACAGCCCCAACAAACCGCCGTGCGTAATGAAAAGTTTCACGTTCGGGTGCTCTGTTTTCCAAAAATGAACAAAAATCATTATAAAAAAATCTCACTTAGAATGAAATCACTTGTGACAAGGGGAGACAAGGAGGTTTTCAGAAGCAGCAATACTAACCGTCACAAATGTTTGCGACTTAATATAACTAGGAGAAAAATCTATGGATTTACAAACCACACTGGGAAAAAAAAACATATTGGATGTAGAGTCCAGACTCTTAAAAACATCGACAAGAAAAAGGACTCTTGATTCAATCGGATTTTTGCTTAAATCAAGAACCACGCCTCCTAATTTGAGCGGGTTTCCTTTTGATTTTAGCAAACATCCGATTGAATCAAGAGTCCTTTTTCTTGTCAATGTTTTCAAGAGTCTGGACTCTAGATTCAATGTAATTTTTCCCCGTGCAATAGAGAATTTGCAGGTGTCTTAAATGTTGTGGATTTCATCTTTAAAATGGTACTGCTGTGAAAACTGAGCACGAGGATATCCTTGGTTTTTTAAATTGGACGATTATTGGAAAAACTATGACAAAATAACCTAATCTGTTAATATACATGTGTTTAAATGGGAAATGTTGCCAGATGCCGTCACAAAGCGGCACATTTTGTCACTTTAAATCTATTTTTCTACAATTTCCCATGTCATAAAAAAATTATGAAAAATACTGCGAACTCAGCTCATAACGCACTCTTGGATGAAGCATTAAAATTTGTGCGTGCAAATTCTCCATCAGTGATTTATATGGATCACTACCAATAGTCGTAAATGAACTCATGATTCTCGGTCTAGGAACCATACTATAAGGTATACAGGGTGGGCCAGAAGTTCCAGGACGGTCGGCTAACTTTTTAACGGTTCGAGGTAGAAAAATGAAACTTTGGGTATGTTCCTATCTCAAAGGGGACCATCTTTTGGGGGAGTCAAAATTTTGGTCCCCCCCTAAGGGAGGAGGCGGGGGGCCCCCAACTTTTTTTTTTCAAATGGCAACCCCTATCTTGTGATACCTCATTCGAAAGACCATAAAAAACTAAGAATTTTGGCGCAAACCGCAGATCAATATCTTAATTTTTGACCGAGTTATGATACTGTCAAAGGTCAAATTTGACCTATTTTCAAAAAATCACAACTCCGGTTCAAATTATCGTAAAGAAAAAAATAAAACGGGAAAATTTACTAATTGTGTTCGCTTTTTTGTAAAAATTGCAGAAATCACTTCGAACTAATTTTAGGGGGGGGGGGGGTTCGGACCCCCCAAATACGTCAGTTCAAAGCTCATTCAATTTACCCGCGAAATAAGCCAATTTCCCTTAGATTTGCCTCCACATTATCCCAATAAGATCAAAATCAGTTAAACATTACGTTGGGCAAGTCTTCAAATTTCAGGAAAAGTTAAAAAAACGCAATTTAAGGTAATTAAGTTTGACCGTTTAAATTGGGTTTTTTTAACTTTTCCTGAAATTTGGGGACTTGCCCAACGTAATGTTAAACTGATTTTGATCTTACTGGGATAATGTGGAGGCAAATCTAAGGGAAATTGGCTTATTTCGCGGGTAAATTGAATGAGCTTTGAATTGACGTATTTGGGGGGTCCGAACCCCCCCCCCCCTTAAAATTAGTTCGAAGTGATTTCTGCAATTTTTACAAAAAAGCGAACACAATTAGTAAATTTTCCCGTTTTATTTTTTTCTTTACGATAATTTGAACCGGAGTTGTGATTTTTTGAAAATAGGTCAAATTTGACTTTTGACAGTATCATAACTCGGTCAGAAATTAAGATATTGATCTGCGGTTTGCGCCAAAATTCTTAGTTTTTTATGGTCTTTCGAATGAGGTATCACAAGATAGGGGCTGCCATTTGAAAAAAAAAAATTGGGGGCCCCCCGCCCCCTCCCTTAAGGGGGACCAAAATTTTGACTCCCCCAAAAGATGGTCCCCTTTGAGATAGGAACATTCCCAAAGTTTCATTTTTCCATCTCGAACCGTTAATAAGTTAGCCGACCGTCCTGGAACTTCTGGCCCACCCTGTATATACTATCATGAAGGTGTATGTGATATTATTAAGGTGTTCCATAGGAACCACTGTAATTGGTTTATAAGTCATAGCTTTTCCTCAGTGAAGAGCGAAGGAGGAACGAAATGACTAAATACATGAATAAGTGAACACATTGTTTCAACATGAAAAAGTCAGGCAGCGCGCCGACATCGAAGTCCAAATCAGCTGAGAGTACATCCATTTTGAAACTGAACAGAAAGAGAACAAATGCCTAGATTGCAAAGTTGAATAATTTTGAGGACGCCAAGTTAGCATTTTAGGCCACTTTCGTCATCTGAGACCTACCAATTTCCGAAATGTGACTAAAAATTCAAATTATCCATCCAAAAATACCTCCCGGCATTCTGTTTCATCAACATCGATCGAACAGGAGCCGAGATATTTTAGGCCACATCCGCTTTCTTTGATTTTTGAATTTTATAAATTTGACTTCAAATTCAAGTTTCCCGTTAAAAATTAACACCCGGTACCAGTTTCACTAAAATCGATTGAACAGGAGCCGCATATCGTAGGATCAGTAGAACCCTACGCTGTTAGTGGTAAAGGACACCAGTCAATTCACGTACGTTTGTGCGCCTTCATTACTGTCTGATACTGTGCAATACTTTGAAGGCACAATAGTTGCTTGCAGCGCCTTCCAACAGTGTCGCTTCGACTTAGCGGCAGAATTGCCGCTGAAAGTGGGCTTTAGCGCGGGCGCAGCTGTACACTTTCCAATTACTGATGGTGAGATTCATTCATTCATTCATCCATTCATACCTCAATATGCGACGTTGCAAGTTTTTCACTGCCTATTTTATATGGCGAACCGATGTGAACGCTTTAAAATCTGCCGTGATTTCCAGAGATGAGATGATCATTATTATTTTAATGTTTCATATATGTCTGTTTGAATGCCCGCGTTCAAAAGGGAAACAATAATTCAAAGTAGGAACCTTCAAACGAACCAATGCGAGTCCGAAATTTATACCTAACCTTCGTAATAGACAGGCCCGAAAAGTTGCAAAAGCGCCTCAGCAAACTGACTGAAATTCAGTGTTACTGTCAGCTCGCTTTTGCGTCTACGTATGATGTGAAGATTATGAACTTTGCTTCCGCCGTATGATCAAATGAGAAAATGAAAATAAAAAATAATATGAAATGTAATGAAGAAATAAATAAACATTAAATTCGAAAAAATTGTCGAGATATGCTGCTGAAAGGCTGCTCTGGAGGTTTACCTCAATGTTTGAGCGCAACGAGATACTATTCCGATGCTGCTTCAACGGATTATACGTATAGAGTCCGCGTCAAACAAGTTACACTCTTCTAGACTGCGACAGAAGATCGTCTGACGCCACTTTTCTGTGTAAAGTAAACGAAAGAATCAAGATGGTGGATCTTCTGTCGCAGTCTAAAAATGTGTGAACTTATTTGGCGTGGACTCAATGAAAAAGGGCATTGAGAACAAAACACGAATCAGTAAGACGAAGCCTTCATCTGAGTGAATAGGCAATAGTGGTATCAGCCGTTCCACGAGCACCGTGTACCCGTCAGTCCGTGAATCATTAGGGATTTTCAATTTTTAGACTTTAACAATCTATTTTGCAACGCAAATTAAAAAGGGAGAGGGAGTTTTGTTTTTTGTCTTTTTTATCTTAGAGCAGTCTCTCCCCGAATGCAGTTGTTATAGTATCGTGTTTTAGGTCGATCATGAGTTTTTTTCATCGATGTTTATACTGTAAATGGACATTCGTGACCAGAATAAGTCTGTATTTTGCCAATTTTTTTCTCAACCTATTGCAGTGTTCTTCGTTTGGCTGCGGCACAAACTCTGAAAATTACTTTGCAATTTTCTGCAACAAATTGTGGACAAAATTTGAGACATTATTATAAGGTCTTCCCACTTGCTTACTAAAATTCTCTCTCTATTCCCTGGTTACTTGTCTCTGCCACTCTCTTAAAAAAGGTATTTGTGTATTCATTCCAGTAAATTTTCTACATGGTGCGAGACAAATGTTTTACAATTTTTAGAATAATCTGCACAGACGTTCTCTTGTAAAAAAAATTAAATTGCCCAGCCAAATTAGGTAAAAGCTGACGATGTGGATTGGTTCCTTTCTGCGAAACGCGGTCCAAATATTGGTTTTTTGGCTTTCTTTCATTTTTACTCCTTTTTTAAGAGAGAAAAAAGTAACCAGAGAATAGAGAGATAATTTTAGTAAGCAAGAGAGAAGACCTTTTAATAATGTCTTAAATTTTGTCCACAACTTGTTGCAGCAATTGCCAGGTAATCGTTCCAACTTCATTTTGCAATTCGGAACCACCATTCCTCGCTCGCATCCGTTTAAACAAGTATGCGCTTAGAGAAACTAATGGCACATGCGTTGTTTCTAAACTGAGCCGGAAATTGTAGTTCCGCTTGCAAAATATAGTCCGACGAGAGATGATTTTGAAACGGCAAAATTGAGATTCGTCGCCTAATAAACGACGGATTTCCTCGCATCCCGTCGACACGGAGCTAAGTGGTTGACCGAGGTGGCCCAGGCGGTGGAACACCGACTCAAAATGACAAGAATTAATCTGGGCTTTCCGAGTTATTTTTAAATGACGCCGGAGCCACGGTTCGCGCCTGTGGCCGTGTTCGCCTCTCCAGCGGCGAAACGAGTCCGCGGATTTTCACGGTGCGTACTGCTGTTCTAAGGAAGAACGCCGTATGAGCCTTCATACGTTGCCAAGTTTCCTCCGATACATACCGAAATCACTGGGAAAATTGTGCTTATTATTTTCAGAAATTTTCAGACAATTTTGTACGCAATTTAATCTAAAATATCTGAAATTTTCAAGGATAGATATGCACGCATGTTGTCAAAAATATTCATGTCTTATCGAGGGAAACTTGGCAACCCTTGAATGTTCATACGGCGTTCTTCCTTATCACGGAAGCGCACGAGCATAGCCCGTCGCGCAATTCACGAACAGCTGCGCGCTGCGGTGCGTCATTCGTCGCTCATCTGACGTGAGGGTGTATGTCAATTTCCAAAAGAGCCCTGTTTTCCGTGTAACCTTATGTTTCCCGGGGCTCATGTGTAAATGAAGATACGCGGTTTCGCCAGAGTAGCGACGCATTGAGGTAAGTTTGGCGGCTTTGTCGTCGTCAAGCTCAGTGTACGCACGAGGAGAGCGCATGAGCTGATGAACTCGCGCACGCACACAGTCACATAGACGTGCTCCATTTTCCTTAATCAGGAAAAAGGTCATGTTTTTGTGTTGAGGAAAAACGCCGTATGATCAATCCGAGGTTGGAAGATTTCTCGTTATATTAAAGTATATTGGAGAAAAATGCGTATCTTTCCTAGATTGAATTGCGAATAAAGTGCTCTGGAAAATTGAAAGAAGCAAACTCACAAATTCCCCTTCGAACTTTCATTTTAGTAAGGGATATTTGGCAACGCCTGAAGGCTCTCAAGGTGTTCTTCCTTAGCACGGTAGCATGGGATGGGTAATGGATCTCTTGCATGCTACAGGATTTGTGATGCAAGTACTTTTCCTCAAATTTAAAAGCATGCACAAAAAAAAGAAGGATAAAAAACCTCTCCAGTTCTACAGAGTCTCGATGCAGAAAACAGTAGGTCTCAAAGGTTATTCAGTTCTATCCTTGTATAGTAAATTTGACGAACTCGACTCTCTTACGAATCAGGGTCCTCATAATCACGGAGATTTCATTTTAAGAGATTTTTTGAGCTCGTAAGTTCACTTCAGATAAAACCGTATCCGCAACTAAATGCTAACAATTTACCATTTTTACTTACCCAGGACGTCTCTCTGAGGAATCCATGGTGAGATCATGACATTGGAAGGTTTATCTGGCAATGTATCGTTTTCGTATTTCCACAAAACTCTCTGCGGAAGTTCGGCAAATGCTTGCATAAATGCTTTCAGTCTTTTCTCTGGAAGAGATTTTGATTGGAGAATGGAGCCCATCGAAAATAATATCACTCCATCCTTCGCACCACTTATGAATTTCTCGATGTCCTGCAAAACCATTTAGAAGGCGACATAATTAATCTGTGCGGATTTTTTAACCAGAATAAGAACCAGGTATAGAATAAAGACAAGTACTTTGTTCTATGTACCCGTTCTGATTTCCAAAATAATATTCAACTACTTTAAAAAGCTGAACAAAATGTAACATAGGTACGGGAACGCAGTCACAGTGTTTGAATGTAATTGTTTACTTTCTCGCTACCCCAGGGTAGAGAAAGTATTGTCATCCTGCAAAGGGGAAAAAAAAAATTGAAATTTCATTATTTTTAGACGTTTTAAGTTCCCAAGGAGTTTTACGTTTAAGGAGTCAAAATAACCATACATGAAAAACTGTGTGTCCGTCCGTCAGGCGTCCCCCAAATCTGTCTACAGCGATATCTATGGTCTTTTTTTCAAACGAATTGCAATAGTCAGTTTTGATTTGAATTTTCTTTTTTCAAGGAAATAAAAAGAAAAAATTCAAATCTTTCTCTCGAAATTATTTATAAACGAGTAATTAGCGAGTAAAAATTAGACCTACATTACACATGATTGTAGTGGTGGCTTTCAAATGATCATATTTTCTTTTTCTATTCTCATGCACCCAGATAGGGCTGAATCATCCTTCAAAACCATGAAAAATACGAGAGAAAAGGAGGCTCTAGCACCGTATGGTCAAAAGCAGCTACACTAATGATCTTGCGTGAACTCCAAAGTTCCTACTTCATTAAATGATCTCGGCCATATGTTCAGTTTCATCGGCAACGTTTTGAATAGTTGGATTTCAACATTAGCTTACTTCCTTTGAATAATGTGTAGTGGGCTTTGCCATCTTATGAGCCTAAGGTGTGGTAAAAAATCTCTAAGTCTGCTCTATACTAGCTACATCCATAGGTGACGTAGGTGTTGATTTGAGGGGACCCTCGACCCTCCTCTATAAAATTTTGAAACTTAAATCCCTCACGGGTGCTACAGCTGCCCCATGTGTATTTTCGACCAAAATGCCCAAGTGCCTTTTAATTTCATGTAATATCATGATGAATGTCATTAAATGACGGTGTATTTTTTCATTTTTGGTTTTAAGTCCCCGCTTCTGAGGAAACCAACTGGCACTCATGTTAAAGCGCTAATGCTCGACACTATCCATTATCGGCCGAGTGACGTTGACATTTTTTTGGGGGCCATTAGATTTACCTATTTCAGGTTCAAAGTGATGCGCATGCACGTAGTGCAAAATACAAATGCCTAATGAGGGTCTGCTGCTAATCTAATGCGCTCCTCGTTTCAAAAGCCGGCGCCGACACGGAACGAACAGGCGAGGAGACGGCGAGGCGAAGGAGAAAGAAAAGCAACGCGACAGTCTGGATGACACCGTCTAGCGTGCCAAAAGTTCTTGGTGACAAGTGTCATTAAGAGGCTGTCATATTTGGCCTCGGGGTCGAACACGCAAGTTATCCAGGGTGATGCACTCCGAACTTAAGTCGGAACAGACAATCGCGATCGGAATGCTACTATCCATTCATAACTCAAATTCACGCCGTCAATCTTTGGAGTAGATCAGAGAGAAGAGACCCTCCACTGGTGTCTCAGCAATGGTGGCTTTTACTTTCGGGACTTGAACATTGAACTTTTGACCTACCTACCCTACTAGGTCGACGGTTGAAAACGTGTTGAGAGTTTCGTTTCGCAAACAAACCGAAGTTTGGTAAACTTGTTTGGCTCATTACGTTACCGTTGCTGTTATGTAATTGTCCATGAGGAAGTGTTAAATTCCCGAAAGTAAAAGCTTCCAGCAGATGGACATAATCAAACTATCTAACATGCTGTATTTTAACAGTGGCCTGACCTAACTCTATGCAGGGCAAGTTAAAGTGACGAAGAAAACGTATGCTTTCGGCTATTCAATATTTTCTCATGCATGGCAACACCTCATCTTACTGTTTCGTTGATTGTCTAGACCATGTTGAGCAAAGTACTCCGCTAAGTCAGATTTACTGCTTGTTTGTTACACTAATTGCTTCGCCGCCAGCAAGAGGGTACTTGGAGGGTTGAGTGATGGAGCTTTGACAAGTTTCCACCTATCGCCAGGACGCTCGAGAAAGGATTTCTATTTGTTTTTGATTAGAAAGCCATTTGTTCATGAATGAGGCGCCTTGAAATCCTTCATAAACGTGATTTTGGTATTTGTATCCGTTTTTTATAGCATTTCTTCGTGAGGAATATGTCATATAGTGCATCTCGTTTTAAACCTTTGATGCCCAAGTCTTTTTTTTACGCGAAGTCCCAAGTAGGGTCGAATCGACGCTTATGTGAATATATTGATTTCGATAGTTTTTGGAGTATTATCTCTAATATTTCTATATTTTGTAGGTAAGAAATACTTTTCATGAAATGTTTACCTTTTTGGTAACATAATGGTGCTCTCTCAACCCCCCCTCCTCACCGCTATACAAGC